AAAGATGACAGGAACACCCTGGCCCTGCCCCTGGTTGAGGGAACTTCGCTACACAATCTCAATGCCGAAAACAACCACAATTGCGTATGTATACATACTCAGACAAATGGATACATGCCTGTGCCTGGTCCCACACTGTTCATATATGACTATGACAGATATTTTTATTTTAACATGTTTGTCAAAACTACAATACATAGACCTGCATTTATATATGTCAGCATACCTATGAGTGCCATTGTGAAATGGATGCAGAGGAGAATTTTTTCCTCCCACTACCATAAAACATCAAACAGAAACTGACATAAATAGATTCAAAATTTTAAAAAATAAATCAGTTTGTCTGACGACCACAAGGGCGTGAAACCCAGGGTTACAAACTCACATAAATACAACTAAATATATTAGTTCTATCACTGATATTGAGCACTTTCCAATAAGTACTGCACATAGAAATGCTGAAAAATCACCATTACTGGGGGGGGGGCTCCAAACACCAGAAAAAAGTCGAAAGTGTGCCTAGAAAGTGCATGACAGTATGCTAGGCCTCACAATCATCAGGTAGTTGCTGACTACCTGATGATTGCATGAAAATGTATGAAACTTATAAATGTGAGAAGTCACTGTTCACTTGGAATTTATTTAGAAATATATATGTATTCTTTCTTGGTTAGTGCATTAGATAATTACATTATTACCACTGGTACTAGTGGCTTGTGTTCAAGCTCAAGTAAAACATTCGAAGTTGAATGCTGATTTTCAAGGCAAGCAGATATTCACTTCGATTGACAACTTTCCTACTTGGAATTACACATACACACATATATATAAGTTTAATTTTTATATTTTAATAGAGCTTGCATAAAAGAATTGTTGCCTAAATACATGTTTTTATATATATATATATATATAGATAGATAGATACATACATACATACACATCACTCCTAGTATAAATCTCACCTTATTCAACAATGGAAATGGTGTGTTGAAAGTTTTTTTAAAAAATAGAAAGACTTTCACGTGAATTCCAGCTGCATTCAACATGCGAAGCTTGGAATAAATACTCCTACTAATATTCAAAACAGCACAAAAAATACATTTTAAGCAGTTAAACATGAAGAGAAATTAAGAACACCTCAAAAACCAACTTAGAAAATGGCCAAAAAAGTGGCTGAAAAAACTTGAGACAATGAATAATATAGAGAATTTTTGCAGTTCCTTACTCCCACAAAACATAAAAAAAAAAAAAAATGGAAGAATGTTGTAAAATCTAAATAAAAACTTAATCAAATTTTCTTTGCCTGTCATATTCAATGAAACATATTTAAAAGAAATATATATATATATATATATATATATATATATAGCTGTAGGGAAAAAATAAAAAATATGGGTAAAATAGCTGGACAGACTGGGTTGGGTTCTATAGCCTTGGATGGTAACTGGTCTAGGAGAAGGACAACTCTGAATTCAAAACCTGCAGAGGGTTGTTTGGGAACCTTGTGGCATTCTGTGCACCAGGTCTCTGTATTCGTCCCTTCAAAAAGTGTGGATGGTCCTGCACGAAGTCTTCACCACTATAATCAAATCTCATGTGCAGGTGTCAGGTTGTCGGTTTCCTGGAAACTGATCTGCTTGACCCTCATACATCGAGTTTCGACGGGAGAGTCGATTATTATTATAATATATATATATATATATATATATATATATATATATATATATATATATATATATATTACTATATGAGGTGTGTTAAAAAGTATCTGACCTTTTGTACATTTCACAAATTTTATTTAATCACTTTTAAAATACTCCTCTTGAGAGTTCAAACACTTCACCCAGTAGTTCTGCTACTGCTGCTAATACCTCTGGAACACCTTTCTGAAATGCTATTAAACTCCGCTGTTGCTTTTCTCATAGTTTCCTCTTGTGACAAAAATCGTTTCCTTTTCAGTGTGGTTTACAGATTGGGGAAGAGCCAGAAATCATATGGTGCCAAGTCAGAATAGTAGAGAACCTGTTAAACAACCAGGAAAATTTGAATTATATGAACAGAATGAGCGCAAATTTCACTGACATTCTCTGTATGTGCAAGTACTCCATTAAAATGGAATGCACCGATTCTGTGCTTATTCCCACTTCATGAGCAATTTCCTAGATTCTTATACAATGGTTTTCTATGACTATTTGCTGAACCTTCTCACTTGGCACTTCATTTCAGTTTGTGGATGACCTGCCTTGCTCTCCACTGAGGTATGGCCATGTTTGAAGCGGTTATACCACTCCCTGATCCGAGTTTTGCCTATGGCATCATCACCAAAGGTCTGCTAAATCTTCTGGATGGTTTGAGATTCAGCATCACTGAGCTTTTAGTAAAACTTGATGCAATATCTCTGCTCAATGTTTTCGGTCATTTTGCATGAAAATGAAAATCTGAGTGCACACTACATATCTGTACCTGAGACATAACAGCTGGAAACAGACACAACCTACCAGTGCAAAGATTTTCATGTATGTGCAGGAAGAGTAGCATCAACCCCACAGATTTTGCCCATGAAGCATTAGTTTTGTCAGGAAAAAATGAAGTTGGATACTTTTTGAACACACCTCATATAAGCACACTGTTCATGTCTTGCCATATACGCAGCTGCCAAATTACTTCCAATAGGTAAATATACACAAAACCTTGGATTTACATGGATTCATATTTTGTTCCATTTTGCCACAGATTCAAATATCTTTCCAAATAAATCCAAAGAACAAATATTTTTTCTCCGTTCTTCAAAAAGGAAGAGTCTGTTAAGTAACCAGGTAAGTTTCATACTGCCTAAACATGGTAAAGAGATTTTAGAAGAAGCCAAAAACTCCAAGTCAATTACAGTCTACACGTGTAACTATTTCTGCTCACCTTTGATTCCAAAGTAGTGACAATTTATATTTCTTGCCAAGAATGAGAGCAGTGGGGGTAAAGTTAATAAAAAACAATTTACATTCACCTTGGTTCAACAGATGTAAATAAACAAAGAATGGAAAAAGAAAAAAGAAAAAATAATGGAAAGAAAAAAAGAAAAAGAAAATGAAAAAGAAAAAAATGGGGGAAAAAGATAAAATAATGGAAAGAAAAAGAAAGCAAAAAGCTTTCTTTTTCTTTCCATTGTTTTTATCAGAAACAGAAAGAAAAAATAATGGAAAGAAAAAAGAAAAAGAAAAAATAATGGAAAGAAAAAAGAAAAAGAAAAAATAATGGAAAGAAAAAAGAAAAAGAAAAAATAATGGAAAGAAAAAAGAAAAAGAAAAAATAATGGAAAGAAAAAAGAAAAAGAAAAAATAATGGAAAGAAAAAAGAAAAAATAATGGAAAGAAAAAAGAAAAAATAATGGAAAGAAAAAAGAAAAAATAATGGAAAGAAAAAAGAAAAAATAATGGAAAGAAAAAAGAAAAAGAAAAAATTGGGGGGAAAAGATAAAAAATGGAAAGAAAAAGAAAGAAAAACAAAAAAAGATTACATAAACTTTTTTTTATTAAGAACATGTTTTTACAATTTTCCCCTCTTTTTCATCTCTTTCCTCTTTTTCACCTTTCTTACCTTTTCTGTCTTCAACTTCCCCACTTTCTTCACATTCTTCAAATCTATTTTCCCCCTTGTTTTCTTCATCACCTTCATTTTACTTTCCTTTGTTTTTTATTCCTTTCCCTACCACACAGTTTGTATCCCTTTTTCTCATCTTCATACTTCTCCCACCACACTGCCACATTCTTCCATGCTGTCTTTCCTTCCACTTTTCTACCTTCCCAGTATCTCCTAATGTCTCCACTTTGTACCTTATCTCCACTCCCTGCCTTCCCACATTAAGTTATCTTTCTGTTCTCCTTATTTTTGATCCCTCTTTCCATTTTCATGTATCTTCTTCCCCCTACTTACTACCTTTTTCATGACTCTTCACAATTCTTTATGCATGTTCTTTTTTTTTTTCTTTAACAATACACCCTCTATGTCTTTCCTTTTGTTTTCCCTCACTTTGTATCCTCTTCCATTTTCATAACTTCTTTTCTTTGTGCCCTTCTTCATGCCCTTCTCTCTGCCTCTTTCCAACCCCATTATACAGGGCTTCCCATTTCATGCCTCTCTCACCCAGCCTGGAATTGGGAATTGAACAGGTTTATGGTAATGGTTTGTGTGTAGGAAAATATTGTTGATTATTTTATTTAAAAGCCATTAAAACTGTAGTGTATTTGATTCTCACTGGGTTGTGCATTTGCATGCTTCTACATTTGTGGCCTTGAGCCAGACTAAGCTAAGCTGAGGAAATTTGGCCACAGAATGTCAGAAAGGAAAAACAAGATGTTTTAAGGAAATGGATTCTGCTGCTATAAGTGATGGAAGAATGTTACTCTACCTGATTTTTTTAGTGATAGCAACAGGCGTGGGTTGCTATGCCTGTCCAAAAAAGTAAAAGCTATACATGAAAACTTGGGAGAAAGGAAAAAGGAAGAATGGTAAAGAATAACAGAAGTGAAGAATAATAAAGAAGCAAGAAATGTGGCACCAACAGACAAGTTCACATTACAGTTGATCATGTTTGAAAGAAATTTTTATAAACAGCAAATTATAATTATAATAAATTATAATTTCGCCAGATATATGATTAGTTATGCAATATAAAATGATTTTCCCAATTTTCTTCCTATAAGTCCTATATACATATTTTTTTTATGAAAATAAAATACCATTACTAACTGATTGTAATTATGTTTTAATAAATTACTATGATTTTATGAAACTACTATGAAATTATGTGTGTGTGTGTGTGTGTGTATATATATATATATATATATATATATATATATATATATAAAACAGAAAATGACTTTTTATTTCAATAAGAAGGTAATAAAATCATCAACAACTGATCAACATCTATAATAGAACAAATAAGAAACATAAATGATATCTTTGAAGCATATTGATACCGTGAGCCATTTTCTCAATAACAGCCAGCAATTCATTGATTTTGGTAAGGTTTTTTTTTTTTTTACTTCAGCAGGCTCAATTTCTGACATGGTGATTTTAATTGCTTCCTATACATCTGCTTTGTTGTCATAATGTTTGCTATGAATAGTATATGGGAGTTCCATTTGAGGTATGGAGTTAACTTGAGTCCCAGTAGCCATTCAAAACATGGAGTTTTATTGAGAGTACATTCATCATGACTGGAGAAAACTCAGGATCTGAATGGTGATGATGCAATAATACTAGCTTGGTTTTAAATTATATAATAGCAATATTCTCTCAGTGAGACTTGCATTAATTCCTGACCACTGACAGTCATTCCCCACCAATTTTTAATGCAGAACATACTGTCTGAATGCTGATGGCAGCAAATTCAAAACATTTTAGATCCCTGAGTGCCAGAGAAAAAAATATTTCAACAGACAACTTAAAGCAACTATGTATTTATAGTAAAAAAGTTTTCTCAATGATAAATGTTGAAAGAAGACAAATTTCTATTTGATAAACTGATAAGATTTGTAGCCTGAGCCTAATTTCTAATTAAAAGGATATTTATCTGAACACCTATACAAACTGTGTGTAGCACAAGGTTTATTTTTATACTATTGCTCATCTAGTAGAAGCCAGTCCCAGATATGATGATCAACTACATCAAACAAACTCTGATTGGGAGATTGGGGGCGTTGTGGAACACTGAACCAGCTCATAATTGCTGTTTTTCCTAGGGTGGTATCATCTGTTAGTGTCCCATCTATGGGCAAATAGTGAACCCCCAAACAAAAACAAAACAATATGAAAGCATAAAAATACATTTTTATATTAAAAAAAATACCAGCAATATATATTCCCAAAAATTCCCAACAATACCTATTTATAGTATATATTTAGTTGAAGCCATAAAATTGTGTTTAAAATATTTATATTTTGGCATTAAATAAGACATAGAGGTTGATATGCCGATAAACAAAAACGATCAACCAACCCAGTACAAGGCCCAAGAGGTCAAGGGTTATTGAATGATATTTTTGTAAAGGTGTAAAGAGAGGAAGTAAGAAGTACATATTATATAGGAATATGTAGTATAGATAATGGCTGACTCAAAAATTGGAGAGGTTAAGATTGTAGTGATTGGGGAAACATCCTCTCAGTTCCACAAAGTAGCTGTTCTTGGGGAAGAAGTTGGCTCAGAGGAATTTCCTCCTTACCAATGGAATACAAAGGAAATGTACTTGGCATTGCAGGTATTTAAAATAAGAGCCCAGTCTGAAAATGGGATTGAGGCCAAAAACTGTCCAGCCCCTCTTGACATGTTTCCATTTGTGTATGACTATGGTGCCAGGGATTAATCTTAGCACTCTTTCAACAAAGAAGGGCTACTTGGAGGGACAAGCCCTCTGAGACTGTACTTTTTGTGCTTCAAAGCCAAAAGACCAAGAAGCAAACTGGGTATTTCTCATTAGATCCTATGGTTAAAGCCCAGATAAAAAGTTTTGGTTTTTGCAAGGGTAGACAGGTAAGTAAGCCTTCCTCACTTAGGAGGAAGATTTCGTTACTGAGCTCTGCATAAAAATTGCTGGAATACATATAAGAGGTAAAAATAATATGCCAACTTGTTTTCTTTCTTTATAAATTTTGTTTATAAATACAGGTTACTAAATAAAATTTCTACATTTGCTTTGATAAAGTTTCTTAAGGAATGAAACACATTGGCATAAAAGGTTTTCTTTTTGTCTTTTCTTTATATTGTATTTAAAGATATATTTTCTTTATATTTTAATTTTTACACACACAAACACACACACACATACATACATATTTGTGTTTGTGCAAGGGTGATGGTTGACCATAAATCATTTAAATTTTTTTTTTTTAAACTGATAAACAATTTCTATATTTTGTTCAAAAGAGTTTTGAATGAAGAAACTCATTTTTGGTTGTTGAGTCTAGGTTATTGCAAAGGGCATTCTGTCCTGGAATATGAAAAGCAAAAAGAGCTTGCATGAAAATGATTGGTCGATTAAAAATATTACTTATAACAATCAGACACAATCATAAAAACAGCAGTACAATTCTCCAAAGACTAGCCAACTTTCAAAGAATCCTCTGAAACTGTATATCCTTAATGTTATTGTTAGAAAGCACAATGTAAATAGTGTGAAGGATAGTTTTAACCATTTTCTTGCACAAAATTTCTGCATGAAGTAAGATTTTTTTTTTTTTAATCATTTCACTTCAAGCAAGATGATAATGTCTCTAGGATGCAGGGGGTTACAAGGATGGAAAGAAAATGAGAAGACTTTATTGAGTAGAAGCAAGGAAAAGAAAAATAAAGGGACAGAATTTAGGAAGACATAATATGGTGTTGCATTTAAAATTCTGAAGATTGTAGGTGGCAGGGAAGCAACAAATTGGGAGGGAGTTCCACAGGCGAAAAGTGCAAGAAAAGAAACTATTACAATAGAACAGAAGGTTGTATCTAACTAGTTAAATGGTGAGACCTAGTTGCCAATCTAGTAAGACATTTAAATTCATGCAGTAAATGTATTAAGAAAAGTTCACCAATTGCCATGAAAATATTTGTAGAAAAGACAGAAGAAAACCATGCCATGTTGGTGAAAAAGTGACTTAAAAAGAAACTAAGTAAATATTTTTTGTTTTAATTTTGTTACGTGGCTTTCTTTTAACTCATTTGCTTATTACTGCTTTTTTCTTTTTACATTTTTCTTTTAATGTTGTGGTAATAAGTCCAAAGAAAACTATATGCAACAAGTAAATATTTAAGAAGGGATTATGGATTCGATAGATATTGTTTGCAATTCTAACATTGGTCACTTCCATTCTTTTATAATTTATTTATAAATTTTGTTCGATAACCGAGGCATTTTCATTATAAATTTTCTGTTTGAAAACAGATTTGCTCAGCATGTGAGACGTTCGAGAACTGAGGTTGTACTGTATTTGAGTAAAACTGATGAAGGCATTGGTTGAAATGTCACATTTGAAAAGAGCCAGATATTATGCAGATATTAGTCTGAATAACTTATGGAATAATGTCTTCTTATAGCAATTTTGATAACATATGGAAGGTAAAGAATGTATCAAGTGAAACATACAAAAAGCAACAAGGATGCAGATATTAGTTTGAATAACTTATGCAATAATGATAATGGCTCATCTTAGCAATTTCAATAACTTCAGGAAGGCAAAAAATGCATCAGCTGAAACAAAAACAGCAAAGATGAGGATGTTATTCTGAATAACTAATGGAATTAGTAAAAAAATCTTTCATTTGATGTCTTTGTGCTTTCGACAGAGGTATGCTGCATCTATTGTTTTTCACAAATTACTTTATATATTAAAAAACAATGCAGAATATATCTGCTTTCAAAATACACAAAAGAAGGAAAATGTTTAATCTTAGAACTTGAGGGAATAATTAGAAGAAACAGATAAACAATTTGAAAGAAGCCATTGTTTCAAAATTAATGTCAGCCAAAAAAATATGTAGATAAGATGTGAA